GATGCTGTTTTTTGCTATTGTTGTATTTTATTTGATAATTCGTCCGCTATTAGTGACTGGCCCAAAAAAGGCTATTTTGACTGGGGAAATCTTCCAAGAACCCTGACAATGCACGAAAAGTCTGTAAATCACAGAAATGCATTTAGAGCATGGAAAGAATTGGGAATTGGACATTCGATTAAAACAGAAAAAACTATTGACGCTGAATATCAGCGAATTATGGATACATTAATATCCATATGGATGATACGGATATGGAAATGGATGATAGAAATTCAGCATTGCAAAGGAGTTCTAAATAGAATTATGTCAATAATTAGACTATTGGCCTCACAATGCTTCGCTTTTCGTGGAACAACTGAACATTTGTTTCAGCCTAATAACGGAAACTTCCCAAAGTTGGTTGAATTGCTTTCTGAGTTTGATCCAGTTATGAAAGAACGTACCAGGAGAGTTCAACGCGAGTCTGATAAATGGTCTGTGACTTATCTAAGCAATAATGTACACTTCACTTTCACTTTATATAAATCTTTATTTCCGAAGACGGCCTCGGCTCCGCAAAGCACCACCGAGGTTAGGAGCAGAATGTTTACAAGCATATTACATGTAAAACAGGTTACATAACAAGAATATGTTAGATTACAACTATATGTTTTAGAGTTCAGTTAATGTACTTGGCAAATTATTGACTGCAGAGTAGTTAAATACTTACATAAAAATTTGCATAGGAGTTGATTACATAAATACGTGGTAACATACATCGGGTATTATTAAGAAATGAACATAGAATATTATAATACAAAATATTATATCAATGATAAACACATTCGAGAAAACATCAGTCCATTCAGACAAATTGACCTAATTAACGGTAGTTCTGTTGAAATAAGTATATACTAGTTCTTTAAATACCACAAAACAGTTTTTGTCTTTGACAAGTATGTCAAGGCTGCAAGGCCAATTTTCTTCTCGCTGAAGTAGAGTGGTGATGAAAAAACGCTTATCGTCCAACATAGGGCATTTAAATAGATAATGTTTTACTCCATCTGTTTCGTTACAAATTTCGCACAGTGAGTTTTCCGATTTGCCAAACCTGTGAAGATATTGGTTGAACTTCCCATGTCCAGTATAGAATTGGACCAATTTTTGGTCAATGATTGGAAGAGTAGAATCTGAAACCTTGGGGAAAAACTCCTTTGTAAGACATTCGCTATGCTCCTCCCATTGTCTTTGCCAGATAGCAAATGCATTTTCTTTTGTTTGTCTTAAGATGTGACATTGGGGAGTGGCATTATAGCTTGGTTCACTTTCTAGTTCAGAAGCCATGCGGGCAAGTTGGTCAGCCCGCTCGTTTCCAGAAACACCAGCATGACCCCTGACCCAAACGATGGCATACCTGTTGATATCTTTGGCCAATTCCAGCAAGATATCGTGGACTATAGGTGAACGCCACTGGAGGTTGTGAATGGCTTGCGTAGACGAGTAGGAGTCTGTAAAGATAGTTATTTCTGTTCTATTATATATGGAGTCGCACCATCTAATGGCCGAAAGAATGGCCCAGAGTTCTGCTTGAAAAACGGAACAGGTTTCCCCAAGTCTTGTTGTATATGTGAATGTTTCTTCATTATTAGCATATACTACAAAGGCACATCCAACAGCCGTATTATTCTTTGAGCCATCTGTAAATATGGTGAGATGTTGTATGGGCCAGGGTTGATCAGCGATGTCAGGCCAGTAAGCTGGGTTAATGCTGGGGACACCCTTTTTAGTGCGTTCAATGTTATCATAAGGTATTCCATTGATCGAGTTGATTTGATCGTCTCGGATGAGCCACCTTTGTGTGATTAAACTGATGGTAAGCTGGATGGGCAGTTTTCCAGCCAAAAGTTGTAACGCTTTTGTGGGGGCTGTAGAGTAAGCCCTACAGATACGAATAAGTGCTCTTCGTTGTGCACTTTGTAGTTTTCTATCAATATGCACCATTCCGAGGCAGTCAGACCAGACTGGAGCAGCGTAACTAATCATTGGTATAAATACCGAATCATATATTATGCTCATTATTTTTGAGCAAAGCCCCCATTTACTTTTTGCTACTCTTGACATGGTATTAAAAAGTAGGTTTGTCCTATCACAGATGTACTGTATGTGAGGTATCCAGCTGAGCTTGTGATGTAGAATCAGGCCCAAGTATTTTAGTGTAGGTACAATCTGTACACTAGTGTTTCCCATATGGATCGTAGGTGTCCTTCTGTATAAGTGTGGAGCCCTTGGTTTTGTAAAGATAATGCCTTTAGTCTTTTCGGGGTTAAAATCCAACTTGTTGTTTGTACCCCACTCCACCACCTTAGCTAGGATGTTGGTTGCCTTTTTTTCTATTTCTGCTCTGGATCGAGCACATACTAGAATCATAGCGTCATCCGCGTACGCTACAGCCCATTCACCACCTAGGTTTGTATTTAGGAAATCATTAAAAATAAGATTCCAAAGGATGGGGCCGAAGACAGACCCCTGAGGACAACCACGGGTGATTTGCCTGTTGAATGTGATCGAGCCAATGCTGAAGGTAGCAGTGCGTTCTTGTAAATATTCATTGATCATGTTATAAATGTAAGCAGGGCATTGGCTTTGCCTAAGCCTAAATAAAACCATTGGCCACCAAGCGGAGTTGAAAGCACCAGCGATGTCCAAACTGAGTTCAAGAACGTAAGGATATGTTTCCTGAAGCTCTCTGATTTTACGTATTAGAGAGAGGATGGTATCAACCGTACACTTCCCTGGACGAAATCCAAATTGTTGCTGATGCAGGTAACCTTGGGTTTCCAAATGCCAGGCCAGTCTGTTTGTTAGAAGACGTTCAAGGACCTTTCCCATCATCGGTAGAAGAGAGATGTTCCTGTAGTCATTTGGTGTGTGAATATTGGTTGACCTTGTTTTGGAATCATGATTAGTCTTTCTTTCTTCCATGCTGTTGGAAAGACATTATAACGTAGGCAGCAATTGTAAAGATTCAAAAGGAAATAATGTACAAGATGAACTGATAAATTTGATGGAAAATGTAATTTTAAGCAAAATTGTCGAAATAAAAAAAATCGCTAAATATTTTTCGATAATCGCCGATTGTACCCCAGACGTAAGTCATATTGAACAGCTCTCATTAAAAGAGTTGTCGCTTTTAACTCCATTCAAAATAAATATAAAACCGAAGAATTCTTTATTGGTTTTTTTAAGCTTGTGATTCAACTGGAGAGGGTTTAACAGAACTTATTCTGACACATTTGGAAAAGTTAGGTTTAGAGTTAAAATGGCTTAGAGGACAAGGCTATGACAATGGAGCTAATACGAAAGGAGTAAGGGTGTACAAAATAGAATACTTGAAAAATATGCAAGGGCGTTTTACGTGCCCTGCGCGCGTCATTCTTTAAACCTAGTTGTGAATGATGCAGCATCTTCTTCTACAGAAACAATAACTTTTTTCTATTGTACAAGAACTTTACACTTTTTTTCTGGTTCTACAAAGCGTTGGGAAGTGCTAAAAAATGTCTCACAATTAACTCTAAAACCATTGAGCGCTACTATAGATGCCTTAGGTCAAGCAGAATAGATGCCTTAAAATCTTTACGATTTCAACTTTGCAAAATCTATGACGCATTATTCCAAATAATAGAAGACGTCAACAGAAATGCGGAAACTAAAGTGAAAGCAAGTGGGTTAGCAAAAAAAATATTAAAAATTACAAGTTTATATGCAGTGTAATTCTTTGGCACGATATTTTATTTGAAATAAATTCAGTCTCGAAAGCTATTGCAATCTGTAACTATAAATTTGTCAGATTGTGTAAGGATGTTATCGGAAACCATACAACAAGTGAAAAGTTATAGACAATTTGGATATGATCGGATGAAAATTGCTGCTAATGAGATTGCGGAGAATCTTGAATGCAGTAAAGAATTTCCTGCCGAAACTGAAGTTAGAGCCAAAAGGAAAAAGCATCAATTTTACTACGAAGAAGCTGTCGACGAACCTTTAACAGAAGAGAGTAAATTTAAAATAAACTTTTTCAATTATATTCTGGATATTACCCTTAATTCTCTGAATGAACGATTCACGCTTCTGGAAACCCATAACAAAAAATTTTCAGTTTTTATATGACATTTTAAAACTCAGGGATTTAGATGATAAAACGCTAGAAAATCATTGTACCAGTCTCCAATCAATACTTTCGGTGGAAAATGAATCAGATATAAATGCAAATGATCTTCGAGAAGAATTACGTGATATATCCCGAATGCCACCGTATTCTATGAAACCTTTGGATGTTTTAAATAATATATGCCAAAATAACTTAACTACTTTGTGTCCGAATACTGTCGTAGATCTGAGAATTTTATTAACACTCTCTGTCTCTAATTAAGAAGTTCAATAAGCCTGTTTGGCTTATTGAACTTAGAAATCTATCATTAATTTCTATTGAATCTACATTGACTGCCACTCTAGATTACGATTCCCTAATTAACGAATTTGCTAAAGTTAGAAGGGTAAAACTGTAGTAGATTCTTGTAGTTGATACTTGATATCATTATTTTAAAGTAATTTTTATTTTCAAAATAAAAATAGTATTCGTACAATTTGTGCAGTTTTTTTAAATCACAACCGAATGTATTTTAGAGAAAAACATTTAAGGGGCGGCATTTCGAAGACTTGTATCACATAGTGCTAAATTCTCCATATAAACATAGAAGAAGAAGACTTGCATCACACTGAGAAAATCTACGGCACGGCCCTGGACACTAGTAGATTTCTTTTTTTCAGCAGCTTTACAAAATAATATTTTATTTTTACCTAATTAAACAAAATTTATTTATAAGTATGGTTCCGGTTCACTTCCGGAGCCTCACATTTATAAGATTAAAAATAATTTACAAGCATGAAATTATTTTTCAAATTTCTGTTATTATTTCGTTTTATATATAAATATTTTAACAGAGGGCGTTTTAATCACTAAGATGGCAGACGAGGCGGTGTTTGAGTACTGTTTAAAATTGTCTGCATTCATTTATTCCTGAATTCGTCATATATTTTATTTCTTTCGTAACAACTCTCTTACTTAGAATTTCAAATGTAAATGTTGTTTAGGCTTGCAAATATAAACAGTTGCTTTTTATTGTGATTTAAAATGTTTATAACAATTTTGATCGTCGTTGCAGTCATTTGGATCGTCATAGGATTTTTTGATCTTGTATTTAAGGTAATTATTCATTCGTAAACGAATATTGTTTTATGTTTTCATGTACACAATTTTCTTTTATGAAGTTATTCTTTTATTACATTAATACGCTCTGAATAAGGGTTGATCCCACCCAGAGCGGTCAGTTCCTCATTCAGAGACACTCTTACTTATTAATACATAATATATTAATTCTATTTAATATAAAAATCAGTACGAATAGTAAAGATACATAAAAATAAACTATATATACATCCTCTGTCAGAAAAATTTCAAGACAAAGCTCATAAAAAATAGAAAATTGCAATTACCAAGTAATGATCCTAGTGTGAGGGTTTGGAATGTACAAGACAAAGTATTCCAACAAATTCCAATAAACGAACAGTTTATTACAACCAGAATTAACAACCAGAATACTGATGCCCATCAGAGACAAAATACATAGATATATACAATCGGTCTCTGCTCTCGTTCAGGTTCTCACGGGGAATTATTCTCGCGTGATTGTATTCTAGTACTAACTTATAACTAACTTAACCTAATACTACACTAATAAGAGAAAAAAAGAAGAAAGAAGGAGAAGAAGTCTACCGGTAGTTAGCACAGGGGTCCTGATCGGGGTGGTCGATGGCTACGGGGATTTTATCAGTCGACATCGGATTGTACACCATTTCTCGTATGGTAATCTTCACTGGGATTTAAGTCTACACTAGGCTCTCATCGGACAAGTCCCTGGTCCTTTTCTGGACTCCTTTCCACTTGGTCCTCTCGGCCTTTTTTCTTTGTCGACGAGTTCTGACGAACGATACCCACGATTCATCCAACACCTCTTCTCTCGGTGTCCAAAACCAAACTGTCCTTTCTTCTCACCCCTTTGTCTACACTTACCAACCCCACGGGCAAGACCCCTCCCTGTCCTCGTTGGCAAAACCACCAATCAGGCCCCACGAAGTTCCCGCTTCTGTCGGGTGACCAGAAATAGTTATTAGTGGAAAGAAGAAGAAAGAAAGGAAAGAACAAAGGAATTCTAAATATAAATACTATAGCTATTTGTACAAAATGGCGGACAGCCGCATATACACATGTACAAAATGGCGGACAGCCACACTAGCTCCTGTCAAAGTAGTCCCCTCAGCAATCTATATACAAGTGCCAATGTTTCTGGAGGTCTTGGAAGCAAGCAGAGAAAGTGCCAAATGTGATGCTTGTTAGCTCATTTGTCACAGTCCATTGGATGTTTGTGTGTCTTGAAGAAACGTCCCTTTCATCTGCCTCCTTTTCACTCATGGAAGCAAAAAAAAATCACACTTTTCTGACAAAGGGTTACAACTGAAAGGGACATTTCATCAAGCAGCTGCATCATTTACTCGATGAGTACAATTAAGCATGTGGATTTTAATATACTTGCAACCATAAAATTACACTTAGGTAGCCAGTAGGATGTGAAGGTCAGTTTTTAACTTGTGTTAGTCTACTGCTATTCTGAGGCACATGTCTACATGCTTTGCATGTAGACATGTGTCTCAGTTGACATAGGCAAGCCCCCACACTCCCTATAACTATATAACATTAAGTACACCATGAACAGTCAAGTGGGCTACTCGAAGCCAGCATAATCACATTGGTCAAATAATTAAATGCCATGATCTTGGAAGTACTGCCATTGGAGCTACCTAGATGCACTTCTACCTATTTGCAACAAACGAAAATTTAAAAAAATGATATTACAAGAGTAACAGATTGTAAAACTTTATCAGAAAGAGAGTACTTTACAGATAAAGTTTTATTGTAATCTGGTATAATCAAAAAAATTTAGAAGAATTGTTGAGGACTACAGTTTGTAATAGCTTAGTACAAACTGTGCCAGATAATATCAGCACTCTACTAGGATTTTAGGCCATCCCTATACAAACAAAAATTCCAAAAGGATGTACAAAAGAATTGCTGATCAAGGATATTTAGCTATAGATTAGTACTACTAAAATTTTTTGTATTCATAGATAAGATGTTTCATTCCAATCAGTATCTTTCTAAAATTAAATAAAAATAGTTATAAAAAAATTTGGAATTCAAATGCATTTTCTTTTATTATTATTTTAGTACAGTCGACCCCCCTATAAGACGGTAGATACATTCCGTCCTTTATGAATCGATTTCTTACAAGTCCTTGCCAATCACAGCCCGACACGTATGCACTTTACGGACTACGGCTGTTTGAAAAGTTTTCTTTCATAAAATTAATCGATTCTAGATTAATCCGTATATGTTTTTTGGAAATAATCTGTATAAACTACACTATAAACAAAAAATTGTAGGATTACTTACCGAGTGTGCACCATTCGACATCGCCGTTGCTCAAGCTTGTTTTCATCGCGGAACAGCTCAGCAAACCGTGGCCACGATTTCTGATGTTATTTTTCTGCGAAAAATTCGTTGAACTTTGGAGACATCATTAATACAAATAATTTTAATCGCCGTTGAATAAGGAATGTTTCTTTCACACGAAATGTATAAAATTACAGTACTGTATTAGACTTACGGTACCTAATTTACATACTGTACAGACGATAGTTCGCCTAAACTCTCCGTAGTGTGGCGCTAGACAGCGGAAAGCATATATATAATTATAATAAAGTTACAATAAATTAAGTTAATATATAATTATATATATAGTACTTAATTTATATATAATTATATGTACAGACGAAACTAAACTCAATTTACCCGCCTAAACTGTCCGTAGCGTGGTGCTGGATGGCGGTAAAGTAGTTCGGCTGCCTGATGACGTTTTACGTAATTATAGGAGCTTTTTTACTGTTGTGTACGGATACCGCCACAATTTTTTTGCCGTCTTATAGGAATCATAATTATAGGAACCAGTCTTATAGGGGAGTCTACTGTATTTAGACTGAGTTAGTAAGACAAATACAATAACAAATTTGTTTCTAATCATTTTTAAAAAATGAGTTTGTGGATCATTTTCAAGTAATTCCCAAGCCTTTTTCAATGCCAGTCCACTTTTGGTACTAAATATTTAAATAATAAATAAAAATGAAATTAATAAAAAATATGTTTTAATAGACTTTGAAGACATTTTTTTTAATAGTTTCATTAACATAATTTATGAAATTTTAAGTGAAATTTCATTGTGGACCAGTTTGAGTAGCATTTCTGTAGCTCTAGGAAGTAACACTTGACAAGATACAGTGTGTTCTCTTTTTGAGTAATTTATATGTATCTAAGAATCTCATGTAAAATCACTTTCCATTCAAATACATGCTAATTAGGAAGATACATTCTGTGACCAACAAATATAATAAAAATGTTTGTTATTACTTTGTTTTATTTATTCATTCTACCATTAAAAAGTGCCTTTGAACCAATATTACATATTGCAATGTTTTTCAACCTTCTTGAATACATGACCCCTTTACAAGTTAAAAAATTTTGGCGACCCCCACGGCTGTATTAAAACTATGTCAGTGATTTTAAAAACTACGTATTTAATTTTCTTTCTGTTGAGATTTAAATATCGATAAAAAAAACTAATTGTACTATAAAATAAACAGGCACAGCCTTCTCACTGAAATTGTAGTTTTTTATTGTAGTGTAGGATTTATAAACACTTGTCTTTTTCTTTTACCCGCAACCCCCGTGTATGGCTTTGTGACCCATCTGGGGTCACGACCCACAGGTTGAAAAACACTGGCATATTGCATTTAAGATGAAAGTTTGTTGTCACATCCATGCATTTTATACACTGTATTATAATTTAAGCAGTTTATGCACACACACTTTGATTACTCTTACGTAATTTCCACTCATAAAGTGCATCTTGGGGCAGCACACAATAGAACATTTCTGCATACTGCTGTGAGATAATGATAGATCTAATGTCCTTATAAAAGATTGGATCATTAGGTCACATAACTTTAAAATTATATTTAAAAAACAGATATAAAAAGAGAATTCACTGTAAAATATTCTAATTTTTCTTTTTTTCATTTTTTTCAATTAGACTATGCATATCTAATCATTTTAATTTCAATATTTAACTACTTAGTTTAAACAAGAGTAAAAATTGTACCTTCCTTTTACCAGTCTTTTTTTAAATTCATGAACATTTTTCAGAGATTTGTTGTATTCAATCTTCAGAGGATTTTGCACAGAAATATCAATGGTCAACATCAGGCAGGAAGATTTATCACAAATTCTATTGGTTTGGGCAATAAAGCCTAGACCAATAAATTTGTCATATATTCGTAAAGAACATATGATACAAATTGCAAAAAAAGCTCTTTTTAATACATAAAAATAAAAATAATAATGATCTGTGAAAACAGATCAAAATTTATTTAATAATATATAGTAAGATTCATATGCACAGATCCAAATTTTAATGTATTGATTAAGCCATTGCTATTGACTATTGACAACACCAATGATCAAAAGTTGAAAGTCTTTCAAAAATAACTTATCAGAAGATGGACCAGAACAAATCTCAAAAACATTCAATTCTAACCAAAGAGCATCTTAAATATTTGGCTATAATCTGGCTAATTAAACTAGTTATGTAATGCTGTATCAGCATGTAGTCGGAGCGAGGCTGCTTGCATCTTCATTTTCTAGATTATGAGGGAAAAAAGAGAGAAAGAATCATTAGTTCTCAACAATATATTTGATTTCTGTTGTATCATTTAAAGCAGTGTTTCTCAACGGGGCGATATCGCCCCCATGTGGGTGTTTTTCCATGTTGAGGGCCGATTTGTAACAATTTATATTTTGGGGCGAAAACAATTTTCTGGGCGCTATAGTAAAACATTATATTAAGAATAATTAGATATTTTATTTGTTATATCGTACAATAATTAAACAAATAACATTATACTAGTCAATAGTCTATTCAATGCAGTACGAATTTGGCGTTAGCCTTGGCCCTCGGCATTGGAATTTTGAAGTGAAGGGGATGATACTGTGTAATGGTTTTATTGAAGGGGGCGACAATTCGTTAGAGGTTGAGAAACACTGATTTAAAGGTACAAATATAAGGTCAGAATAAGCCATTAATTTAATTAATTGCTATGCCAACATATCATGAAATCCTGTCTATCACTTTGGGCCTTGGACTTACAGATTGACTCGTAGTTATGTTTACTGTAACTGTTTTAAAATACTATGTCAGTTATTTTTTTTTCACTCAACTGTATGCAACATAGGTGAGACCGATAGCTATCTCTTTTTTACCTATATATATTTTGATTTTTGGAAGAGTTAATCTCTGTGATTTATGTATAGTCATTGAGTAAGATAAGAGGAAATTGTCTATGAGATCACAATATACTGCCGTCGTTTGAAGAGCATGTTATGGGGATTATTGGAAACAAATTACCATAGATGAAAGGTTTCTGATAGCTATCGAATTCCACTAAAATAAACACAGGAAGAGCTGGAGGGCAAGCATTAGGAGCATATATAACGTAGCATTTAGTTCCTAGTGAACCATTGACGAGACCTCCTTGCACCCATAAGTTGACTCTCAACATGATTCTGGCATTATCTGAGAGATTCAAATTCTTGGAGAGACCAAGAGCTGAGTCATCTTTGGACGAAGGCAGGGCAACAATCTGGAGAGTTTTCAGATGTTATATAAGCAACAGGGCACCCAGTTGACTGCAAGTTGTCTTCATTGCAAATTGCAAAATTGTACAATTTTGATTGTTTAAATAAAACTTGCCACAATTTAAAAATATTTTAAACAAAATCTGGTAAATGTATGTTAAAAATTGAGATTGAACTATACTCCAGAAATAGAAAAAAATTTTGTTTATATATATATATATATATGTAAATATGNTGGCCACTCAGCTGATAAACTTCATGAAAAAGTATATACTTTTTCATGAAGTTTATCAGCTGAGTGGCCAGAAAAACATCTAAATGGATATTTGGCAAAAAGGCACTGGAAAAATTGGAGTTATGTTTGAATTTTGAGAAATTTATTATGATTAGAATGTATAAAATTTTTACTGCTTTAAATTTATTGTTGCTGAGAAATTAATTCTCTAATATGATTTATAATCAAACTAAAAATTTTTAGAAAAGAATGTTTAAGTCATTGAAAAATATAATAACATATTATCAACTCTATCAATATTTTGAAATTTAAATTTATGACATAGTAGAATTATAAAAGAGCTTAAAATATATGTCATAGTTTTAGTTTGTTAGATTGATTTATTTTTTTTTACTAATAATTACTCTAATTTTCTATGTATTCTTCAGTCATGCATGTTACATCCATATTTGGTACTATTAGAAAAAAGTAATCTCACGTTCAAACCATGCCAATTACAATGGTATACAAGTCGTTGGAACAGATTATTTAAAAAGTTGAGTAATTATAAAGCTCGATGGCTTCGGAAGTGGTTCAGCTTTGGATCTCTTGTTACAAGTATTTTAATCATACCATCATTATTTCTATTAGCATATACTGCTAAGAATATGTATGACTCCTTAAGCTATGATATTAAAACAGAACAAATTTTGCAACCAGTAGTAAGTTAAAATTATACTATTTCATTATAATTTATTAATTAAAGTTATTTGATATTTTATTTATTGAAAAAGTTGATATTTTATTTATTGTTTTAGTTTCCAGGAGTGAATTTACCATTATCTCATGTAATATATTATTTTGTTACATTATTAATGTGTAGTATTTTTCATGAATTAGGACATGCACTTGCTGCTGCAAGGTAAGATTTAATTCTATATATGTACTGTATATTATAAAATCTTAAAATCATAATTTACTGTATATAATTATTAACATGCATTTAGAAATTTTAATCTAACATAATTTTTGTAGTATAAACCACAGCTTATATGCTGGTTTACATTGGAAAAGGGAGAGATTTTGACTTACAAAACTGTGACTCATCATTTATGAATCACTTTGCAGATGGCTGCATCATCTGAACTAGTGTTCAACGTTATTAAATAATTGACTATCAATTATTGACAGTATTTTCCGATATCAAAGTTGGAAAAATGAATATTGGCTAATATCATTATTGATCTTCATTATTACTGATATCAGGAAAAAATCAAAATTTACACAAGTTAGTTAATTTAATGGCACAATGATAATGAACTTTGAAATTGAAATTGTCAATGAACTTCATTTGTTGTGATTAATATTTTAGAATAATAATTGCGACTATCGTTTTAATAATTATTTTTGTTTTTAACATTGAGTATTTGTCAGCAATTAAAAGTTGGTGTAGTTAGTATAAAAGTTCGGCTTATCTGTTGATTAGATTACAACAGTGATCTATTTTTACCTCCTGCAGCTTACACTCAAAAAATTATGGTATTTTCTATTTAAACCTTTTCATAAAAACTTTATTTCTATTTATAGTTGATAAGATAAAAATTTCTTTATGAATGTTTAGATCAGTGATTCTAAACCTTTCTTCACAGTACACTTTTAATAATTTAAAAATTTGGCAGCACACACGATTACTTTGGTAAGTACCGCAGGGCAACTAGTGACATAATAACTGATTTTTAAATGCAGTTGGTTATGTAGGTAACATTTTCTAAATGCCTTGATAACTATTGGCTGATTACAATTCCAATCACATCCTAGGAAAGTAGAACCAATTGAACTACTTGTCTGACATTGCATATACATGCGTATTTGCAGTGCAGCACATTTCAAAAATCTCTCAGCATAGTGGTTGAGAATCACTGGTTTAGATAAACAAAATATTACAATTTATGAACATATAAATATGTAATAATACAAAATAAGTTTAATATAGTTAGTTAGAATTTGATTGTAGTTTTGTTTTTTAATATTTAGGAATATAAACTGCTTGTTTTTCTCTCTAGAGAAAATGTCAAGATTCATGGTTCTGGTTTGTTTATTTTTGGAATATTTCCTGGTGCATTTGTTGATTTATCAACTGAAAGTATGACATTGTTAACACCATGGCAACAATTGAGGATATATTGTGCAGGTGTTTGGCATAATATTGTGTTGGTTTTATGTGCATCATTTTTATTATATGTTAATGCATTTCTGCTGTTTCCATTTTACCAATATGGTTCCGGAGTAACTGTCACATATATTGCTGAGGTATTTATTGATTATGATTAGAAGTTACTATTATATTTAATTTATTTACTAATGTAATATAATATTTTAAAGAATAAATATTTTTGAATTATTAAAATTAATTTTGTCCGTATTTGAATATCAAGAATTCAGGAGTAGATGGCCCTGCAGGGTTGGAGACTGGTGATGTTATTACAGCCATTGTATCTTGTTCCATTCAAACAGAAGAACATTGGAAAAAATGCTTACAGGATAAAATAAATCAACCATCTCAAGGTTATTGTGTACCAATTACATTTATCATGCAAGAAGATGTAGCAATAAAAGGTAATAAGCAATTTATTAAAAATAGAGTAAAATAAAAAAAATAACTATATCACATTAAAATAAACTTTTAAATAAATTTAAACTTAATAATAATTTTAGGAAAACTTAAATTATTGCTTTATAATAATTTTAATTTAATTTTATATATACCATATATCTGCGCAGATAAGACAATAGTTGAATCATTAAAAAAAAACCCAAAATCCAGGGTCATCTTATAGAGCAGATACAAAAAAAAATTAGATTTAAATTTATATAAATTAAAACCATTATAAAATAAAACAAATCGCTCACCAATGTATTTAAATAGTCCATATGACATTTTTGTGAATAGTCAAGGTCATTACCCAAATGCCCGAATCAGTGTGAATGTTTGCAATAATCACAAGGTAGCCAGGTATACCTCGCCTTACGTCAGTAATTGGTTCCAGGAGAGGTCAAAAAACGACGTGAGTCGAATTTACTTGTCACTAGGCTAAACCACAAGTAACCGTTCCCAGTTCTGTATTTTATTTATAAATGCAATTTAAATAATATACGGTTAATAAGAATCTATTTTAGGCTTACAAACAAATAAATTTTAGTTTTTAATATAGTATAGAAAAAAGTAATCGAAATTTACAAATTCATGTACGTACAGTACATACTTGTAAATATACATGTTTATAATTTGGCGATGCTTACGGTACATAGTGGACTCTGTATTTGTGAATGTGGTTTGCTCTAAGACATTATAAAATAAGATGATTTTGTAAAGTTAAATAAAAAATACAGTTATTAAAATTATCTTGTGACAGTAGAAAATAAACTAATTTATATTAAATTTACCAATATTGAGTGGTGCTGACAATGATGCCAAATTAGATATTGGAGCTACTGTGGAAAACACCAATATTGAGCACTTAAAGACCACTAAATAAGACGACAACACAGAAACACAGATGTTTTCATGTTTCATTCTCTAGGATTTATGATGATTATGTTAACATTTACTGTAAATGTACATATTTTAATATGATTTTGTGTGTTTTAATGCTTTTCTAGTGATATTACGACTTCAATATTTGTGGCGGATGGACGTAAAGTCAAATAAAATGACTTAAACTTGAATTTTATTTTTCCATATATTTTTTGACAAATGACGGATAATCAAGAACGATGTAACTCGAGGTATACCTGTACTGTTAGATGCAAGAAAATAAAATTGGTTCATTCGAAAAATTACAAATATGACATAATTCTGTATATGCTTTGCAGTATTATTATCCAGATGATCGCTGATCTAAACTAAATTCATAGGCTGATGATAGTTTTAGGGTCATCTTATAGGACAAATATATCATAAAACTATAAAACTTTGACAAAAATTTATACCTCATCTTATCTGATGGTTGTCCTATCTGCATAGATATATGGTATATAATCATCTCAAATGTTTGTATTTATTTCATAAAATATTTTCTAAAGTCAGATCATTAAAAAACAAGATAAATTCTTATTTTTTAGGGGGAAAATTAACTATACAATCAAATCCCATTTACAGTGGTACCTCATGATACAAACACCCCAGCATATGAAATTTTCAGGATACGACATGAAAATCAAACATATTTTTGCTCCACGATACGAACAAAAACTCACCATACGACGTTACATTAGTTCGCAGCGCCAATTTTTATTCACTTCAGTTCATCTGTCTCAGTCTGCGTGTTTGCTTCATCGTGGAAGGATCTCGCTCGATAAAGGAAATCTTGAGATATTATCAGAAAGTGACTGATTTTATTGAAAAGAAACATCCCGAAAAACATTGCACTGGCCGAAAAGGTTCATGCTGACTTAAGCATATGTCATTACTCCGAGCAGCAATATGATGCTCGAAGTAATGACATTTGCTTAAGTCATTTTAGAAACATTTTAAAAAGTAGGCAAAACCAAACCTCTTTGGATAGATATTCTACCAAGCGATATCTATCCAGTGAAAGTGCTGATGGAAGTGAAGGAAAGAAAGCAAAAAGCAGTGAATAAAAATTTTTTAAAAAATATATAAAACAACACTAATTTTTTTATCTTTTCTAAGTTATTTTTAAGTTATTGTTACATTATGTTATGTAAGTTAAGTTTTAGTGTCATTTCCCTTATCCCTCTCTTCCGCTACCAGTTTACACCTCCACCATCGTCTGTCCTCAAAGGTAAAGTGCAAATAAAATTACATTTTTTTTTTTATCAATTAATATTCTATTATGGTTATTTATACATTTACAACTACAAAACGCATTTTTTAGTGTTTTCCTTACTATATTTTTTTTTTTAATGTACTACTTAGCTTTAATTTGAGTGTGTTTTTAATGTTGGAACAAATTATTTGATTTTACATGTAATCGTATGAGGAAAAATGATTCACCTTACGACATTTTCATGATGTGATCTTAGTTTCGGAACGGATTAATTTCGTATCCTTAGGTACCACTGTATATGTTTTTCAAGAAAACAGAAAAATATCAAATATATGAAAAGTAACATACAAATGAGACTACTTTCAAATTTCTTCCAGACTGAATCGCAAAAATATGGCAAAGCACTAATTTGTGCTGTAACATTGTACAACTGAATTTGTACAAGTAATTCTTAACAAAGAAGTTTCAATTTACTATAAGTGCAATACATTTGAATAACATATAAAAAGAAAAGTTAAACAATGTTAAATTGTTTTGTACTTTAAAAAGTTGACCAAGTTTTGTTTTTTTCAATGGACTTGTCACATACTGTACCAGAATATAACATCAGTTGTCTCGTCCCACTGAAACTGCAGTCACATGAAAGAATGAAAAGTCATTTTAAAGGTTAGCTACTCTAACAATGAATAGTGAAAACAAATGAGTCACTTAGTGAAATTGGCTCACACCACAGTGTGAGCCAATTTCACTAAGTGACTAACATTATTTTCTGGTTGAAAGCAAAAATTTTCAAAATTAAGCATTTTTGGCCAATATATATTAAAATATAAAATATATAAACTTATAAGTATATTGAAGCTACAGAATGCATTCATTTTTCATTGTTCATATCACCAGTGACTGTCCAAAACAATTTTCACTTATGAAGACAATCTTTTATTTGAGACTGTATTTCTGCAAAAAATGCAAAATGGATAAATATGTCTAGTGATTATGCCAATACTATAATTTACAATACAATTGATTAAAATTAAAAATTTTTGGACAATGGTATTTACATTAAAACATAAAATATATAATTATATTGAAGCTGCAAAATGTCTTCATTTTCTGTCACTCACAGGACTTTCTGTTGTTTTTCAGAGACAAAGCCTCAAATAAAAGGTTGTTTCTGTAAGTAAAAAATTGTTTTGGACTGTTGCTGGTATTGTGAATGACAGAAAATGAAGACATTTTGTAATTTCGATAAATTTATATTTTTATATATTTTATATTTTAAAAATTATCAATTTGTTGGACTGGAGAAATTTGCTAAGCAAGAAAATTCATTGAAAATGGTGTTACTCATTACATACTGTATTATTCACTCTACTGTTTGCATTTGCATGCAATTTACTGTCAGTGTGTACTGATCTGAACTGAATACATAATTCACTTTTTCACTTTTAATAATTACTTTAAATTTTTCCATTTTAAAGTGAATAATGCATAAATGAGAAAAAAGTGCCTTAGGGCACTGAAAAATAGCATGTATAAGTGCAAAATAATAACTGAAAAATTTTATAATGGAGAAACTACCATACAAAAAGATATTTAACATATAATTGTGAAAAATATATAAATGGAGTTCAGTTGTATTATGCATTACTTATAAGTCTTCCACATAAATTGCATTTCCTTGCAATGATTGATGATAAATTGTTATAAATGATTGATAGAATATTTTCTTTATATAACTAAGAAATGAAACATGTTTATTAAAATCATTTAGAATGCTTTTAATCTGAACAGCATGTGTCCTGTGAGAACTACAAAGTTTGCCAGATAGGTTTTATAAAAAGTAAAGCAGAATTCCTCAAAACGTAGCCCAAATTATTTTTCAAGTGGCCCAAAAAGTAGTAGTTTAGAGTCATACAAATATCTCAATCTGCTACTCATTACCCAATCTCACAATTCCAAAATCTAGTTGTATTTTATGAAATAAGAGAAAAAAGGGGTAGTCCATATGTAAGGTGACACCCAAAAATGCATTACTGTAAAAGCAGTCATATTGACCAGATTAGAATTGTTCTTAGTCTATTGTTTTTTTATAGCATGGAGGTACTTCAATCTAAACAAATGAATGAACATAGCCATATCACAGTTCAGACAGAATTTTCACTTCAAATTATGAAGTAGCTGTATTTCAAACTAACAGGATTGATTAACATGTAAGTCCCTATATTCCCAGCCAGGACTAATGTACAGTTACAAACTAATGGGATTTCAAACTACTGTATTTACTCACATGTAAGATGAGGTTTTTATTCATTTTTCACGGCTTCAAAAACCTAGGTTGTCCTATACATGCAAGCGAAGGATTCTTTACATTTTTGCAATAATTTTTGTGAACTGTGTATTTGCATTTTTATCAGATGCTCACCCTCTGGTGTTTAAAAACAAAAGTATTTTATCTAGGTCATTTGAATCATTCTTATGTATTGTCAGGAGTAAAGATGAATAGCAACAGCAAAAGCAAAGTTTTTGAATTGAATTTCAAATTGAAATTCCATAATCACATGGGAGCCCGATATAAGTTTTAATATCACCAAACGATCGCCTAATTATCGGGCTATAATATTGCTACTTTAAATGATTGGAATAAAGTAATTTTATTCCAGAATGTTCTAAATTTATTTAATAATTTATTTATTTAATTTTAATTATTAATTTAATTAAGAGATGGCGCCTAACGCCTACCTCTAATGTCAAATTACTTTATTCCAATCATTTAAAGTAGCCATATTATAGCCCGATAATTAGGCGATCGTTTGGTAATGTTGTTATATACTCGGGCTGTGAGTTGATGTTTATATATAAGTTTTAATCCATTCCCATATGAAAACAGATGATTATTCAGAAATCAGAATTTGGAAAAACTTATAAGTTTAATCAACAGAAAGTGGATTCGACTGTTAAGAATTAGCAAAAAAAGTTCCCGATTGCCCAGCTTACGTGAACAAATTATGTTATTGATTTTACAAGATTTTTCCTTAAAGTTTAAAATGCCAGTAATTTTTGCAGGACAATGTGTGCATTTACATACATTTGATATTTTATTTGTGATTAAACAAAATAAAATTAGAATTGTGTTAATAAATCTAATTCTCTTTATTTTGATCTTTAAAGTCACACCTGGTCCTGTATGTGAGATCATCTTATACATGAGTAAATATGGTATCTGAGTTCAAATTAACAAGGATTTCCTGTATATATAAGTTAATTTAATAATAATAAATTTATTGAGGTTTCCTGAGAACACAATTCTGATCAAATATATAATATGACACACAATGAATATGAAGTTTTATACAAGTTTTTTGAAATGTAATTATTTATAAATTAAAATGTTTAGGACTAATGTATTTGTATGTAAATTACATTAGATATCTATAAACTGTATAAATATATGAAACTATATAGAAGAAAAATTTTATAAAGGAAAATGATTGTGTTATATTTTTATCCTCATTTCTTGTAAAGTCTAATTGATTGTTAACATTGATCTTCCATTAAAAAACAATATTGAACAAGTCTTCATTTTATCAAACATTTAAATTTTTAGTAAGGGAAAAACTAAAACAGATTAAAATAATGAAATTAAAATAGATTAGAAGAGTAAAGAAAATATTTTTTATATAGAATTTTATTTAAGCATTTTTTAAACAGTGGCAATTCTAAACAAAACAATGTAATTGTTTAGATTGATTTAGAATAAATTAATGCATTTTTATAAAATTGTCTTATGAGTGCTTTATTTTCTAAAAAATTAAAAGAAAAAAAAAATTAATAAAAATTGAAATTAATTTAAAATTATTTAAATTAAATAATTTTCTGAGCTAAAATGATTTATTTTAATACTTTATTATATCAGATTTTGTATACATCATGCTTTCTGATTTCTAATTTTTCATTCTTTTTTGGACTTCTTACTAAATTATTTTTATGATTATTATTAAAATATAATAGCAAATTGTTATATATATAATTTTTAAACTTTAAATATATTTTATAGGTTCATCAAATAATCCTATGTTTGATTGTTGCAATAAAGAATCCCAGAATGAACTTTGCTTTCATCACTGGACACTCAATGATCAAGAAGTATGGAATAAAATATTTTAAATGTAATAGAATGAGAAAGGTTACTTGAGAATTTTAATTGAAAACATGAAAAATAATTAAGAATAAAAAATAGAATTTATATTTTAATTTACACAATAGAAAATTTGTAGAGAATTCTACATTTATATTAATATTAATTAATTATTCAATTAAAATTATTAGAAATATATTTAGATAATATTACTTATAGTAAAATTGCTGCTTCAAACACAATAAAGTGCTATAAATTAAGATACTTGGCAGATTTTCTCATCTTTATTTAGTTGATATGTGTGAAAGTTACACGTTTCGGGCTCCTAAACCCCTCTTCAGCCAACTAAAATATTAAAAAAGTATACAACATATATAAAAAATACATAAGTTTTGTAGAATTTATAAAAATATATTGATCTATAACATATCCATGGACACAAGTCTTATAAATTAAAGTGACATCACTTAGGAATAAGATTAATTTGTAAGACTTGGGTCCATGGATATGTTATAGATCAATATATTTTTATAAATTCTACAAAACTTATGTATTTTTTATATATGTTGTATACTTTTTTAATATTTTAGTTGGCTGAAGAGGGGTTTAGGAGCCCAAAAAGTGTAACTTTCACATGTATCAACTAAATAAAGATGAGAAAACCCGCCAAGTGTCTTAATTTATAGCACTTTATTGTGTTCGAAGCAGCAACAAATATTAAAGCACGGTTTCATATCATTAAAAAAAAATATAGTAAAATTGTTAATACACTCATTGACAAAAAGTCATGCCCCTAAATAGAATTGTCTGATTACTGAAAATCTCTGCATACAGTTAAATCTCAGACAGATGATTGCATGCTAGGTAATGTCACAGAGAGCCTTAAAATCAGTTTGCAGTATTCTATTAAAAAAAAGGCTTACTGTGTTTAGAATTTTCACTGGCATTCAAAGGCCTGTTATTTGGAGATCTGAGTGCCAGGCATACTTGTGCAGCACAGTCAAAGACATTATGCACAGCTGATAGAATTTGAGAAAGGCTACATCATCCAACTAAGGGAAGCACGGTGGCCATTTTGTTGAATTGCCTACCATTTGGGCTACTCTGACTGACTGACTAAGGAGGACTGTATGTTGAAGGCAGGAAATATGAAGGTTCATATAAATGGCAAGCATCATATATACAGTCTTACAAGGTACAAAGTTTCCTTTTAAATCATAGTTGTTTCACAGAAAATTGACCCTTTGCTATAATATTTTATCACAAATTATTGTATCAGTTTCATTATGTTCACACTAATAAAAGTTTTATTCAATTCCAATGCCTTCTTTTGGTGTGCAACATTTTTGTCAGTTGAGCGTATATAAAATTTAGCCAGTTTAATTTGGTTAATTATATAAAAAATTAATCAATTGAAGTAATAAATATAATAATAATTCTCACTATTTTGACAAAATTTCTATTATAATTTAATCACTAAAGAAAATATCTTTTAAATTTATAAAATCTTTTGTATCATAAATTAGAATTAGAATATTTTTAAAATCCTTATTTCTATTTTATTAGATACAATTGAAACTGTTATAATGACAATCATGTTGGTATAATTTAAGGAAAAAACATTAAATGAGAAAATGTTTATAATTAATTGACAATGGTTTTTCACTTAGTTATTTTATTAAAACTCTACTGCATTGAGTAAATTTATCAAAATAATTTGGAACTTAGTGATATATTTAAAATCTTTATATAGCAGAACTCTTCTTTTTTAGAGCTCACTTTAAATATCAATTTATCCAAGCACTTTTAGACAATCAAGCCCATCATTAGAAGACACACAAGCAAGTAAATTGTCTCAATAACCAAGTCACAAGTTTAGATGACTCATTTGTGTGTGTTCTTCTGACAATGGACTTGGCTGCCTGAAAGTGCTTGGGAAAACTGAAAATTAGGATGAGTGCCAACAAAGCCAAGTTTTGTTATATTTTAAAGAATTTGGAGTTATTTCTCATTACTATTTACTGCTTTATTGGATTTAACATGCATAGTCTATTTCTTTATATATAGTATAATATTTTAACAAAATAATATAGCACTCAAACGTTATATTACATATGGCCTATGGCATACTTATGGGAGATAATGTGGGTGTTGGATCCCTATCCAGAAATTTTACGAATAAAATTTAAAGTAAAAAACTTTGTCTTAAACAACAAATATAAAATTACATTTTATTAGCAAATAATTCAATATTAATCAATTATTTCATTTCTTATTATAATAAAAAAATGAATGCCCAGTTATCAATTGCTTATATTACATGACTATGGATTATTCTAGAAGAAAAATCATAGTTCAGATATTAGATTTTTTCTCAAAGTTTCCTTCTAAATGTATAAGAAACATTCTAGAACATTTGTCTGACAGGTATATAAGGGACACTCATTTGTTGGCAATGAAGGGTAAGAGATGCTTAAGGTTTCTTTAATCTGATTCTATTTTTTTAGATTATCCTACAGATTACCACTTAGAGCAAAATCTTAGTTATGCCACTGCATATAGTTATAAAATAGAATGGAGGCAAAGGTAGGATAAAACAAAGGTTTTGATTTTAAGAGTTTGAATGTTGTGCCATTCAGATACTAAATTTTAAAAATTTAGAATGTAAGCTGCAGATAAACCTAAGGCATCTTACAAGTTGAACATTTCTTAGTAAAATTAAGGCTGGCCAGATAGTTAAGACAGTTAATGCATAATTTTAGTGCTCTGAGGACACAGAATCAAATCTGGACAAGCAATTCCAGGAATTTTTCATGGGAGATTTATCTTGGATATATTGGACCCTATCTCTCACCACCTGGTTGCTTTCATTGTGGGCCTGATCAAAATTCAAGATGGGTATGGCAAAAAAAAAGCTGTCTTTGTGCTCACAGGGTAAAAAGAAGCCAAAAATAAGAACAAATTAAGGCTCTTAAATATGTAGATGTTATCACAGTATTTGATAAAGTATTAACTTTTATGTAAATAATATATTCTAAATGGTCATAGCTGTAGTTTATTGAAAGTGGTATAATCATAAATATTTTTAAAGCAGCTAAAATGTTATTAGAGCAAACTAGATGTGAGACAATGAAACACACTTTATTGGCTTCTAGCAGTAGATTTAATACAGTAAAANGAATTTATTATTGATATGAATTTATTATTTATACCATGGAATGGTATAAATATTTATTATATGCTTTGCCTTGCCTTATTATATGCCTTGATTAACCTTGTGCTGCATGTTCACAACATCCCGTGACTCAGTGAACGTCGCACATTGACTGACGGGAAATTTGTTGAAAAAAAATGGCAGATACATTTAAATCAAGGGTTACCAGCAAAGGCAAATAAACAAATTAAACTATTTTAAAGTATTTATAGAATGTTTAATAACACTGAATAATTATTTTTAATAGTGTCATGTTTCCTATTGTATGATTGGACATACCTCATACAATAAATAAATTATTTTTATTTGTAATAGGAATTTATTATTTATACCATGGAGAATAACGAAAAATTGATTCAGAATAATACAGTAGACCCCCCCTATAACGCGTAGCTACGTTCCATGTTATAAGAATTTTACGTTGTAGGAATCCTTAAATACACGAGCCAATCACAGCCCAACACATGTGAAGTTTATGGACTACAGCTGTTTGAAAGGTTTTCTTCCATAAAATTAATCAATTCTAGACTAATTCGACTCAACATTTCCAAAACACGTATCATTTTTTGGGAATAATCCATATAAACTATGCTATAAACAAAAAATTGTAGGATTACTTATACCGAGTGTGCACCATTCGACATCGCCATTGCTTAAGCTTGTTTTCATCGTGGAGCACCGCACCAAACGGCGGCCACGATTTCTGATAAATTATTTTTCTGCGAAAAATTCGTTGAACTTTGGAGACATCATTAATATAAATAATTTATATGGCTGTTGAATAAGAAATGTTTCTTTCACAAGAAATGTATAAAATTACAGTGCTGTATTAGACTTACGGTACCTAATTTACATACTGTACCGACGATAGTAAACTCAACTTACCCGCCTAAACTCTCCGTAGCGTGGCGCTAGACGGCAGAAAGTATATACATAATTATAATAAAGTTACAATAAATTAAGTTAATATATAATTATATATACAGTACCTACTTTATATATAATACTGTACAGACGATAGTAAACTGAATTTACCCGCCTAAACTCTCCATAGCGTGGCACTGGACGGGGGAAAGTAGTTCGGCTGCTCGTCCACTATTGGTTCAGATTTGACCAATCCTGTCATGACACGAGTCAGCGGCAACGTTTTACGAGTCCCTTTTAGCATCTTTATACGAATACTATCACAATTTTTTTGCCACGTTATAGGAATCTCCGTTATAGGAACCCACGTTATAGGGGGGTCTACTGTAATACCTTTTTTTACCAAAAATGTTGTTTATAGGGAAGTTTTTTGATAGGAGAGATGAAGGAAAGAAAACTAGATTTTTAAAGTATATTAATTTTATTTATTTCAATTACTTTGAATAAACAATATCTTCACTTTCTAATATAGAAATCCTGTTTGCTGTTTGTTTATTGATTTATTAACATTAGTTTTTAAGATAAAGAATTGTATATATTTATATATATTAAGTGCATCAAACATTTAAATATTACTTGCTTCAAACCTTAAAATAGTATGCGTCAAACTTTCATATATTAAGTGGATCAAATGTGCCTCATGGGAATTTGTAAAGAATGCCCACTAGGGGGCATCCCAGGCTACTAGTCACTTATAAATGATAGGAATATGCTTACTTTTAGTATATATATAGATAAACAAAATATTTATAGCCTGCCTACCTATGACTTACATACAATTTGACCTGTCAGTTGAAGAGTTTGGGCATTACTGATACAACATAAGCAAAAAAAATTTCAGGAATTTACTGCTGTTAAAATTTCTTAACATTATATTATTGTACTACAATAGAACCCTGATTATCCAAGGTAATTTGGATCAATGCTACCTTGGATATATATCTTATATAACTGAAAACCA